GATAAGCGGCATCATTTAGTGCTGAAAACATGATATAGGTTATATACTTGTTAGGCTATATATAGGTTATATAGTTTATCTGTAGTCATTAGTGTGCATCCTGTAAACCAAGACAAGATGTAACATGTAACATCTTCATCAAAAAAAAAAGTTTTGAGTCAGAACAGGCACTTTATCACAAGATGTGTTAAACCACAATAGTATGCATCATAGAGATATTGAAAAATTGATTCATAAAGAAATCCACAAGCCATATGGTTTTAAAAAATTGTTCACCATTTTGGCCATTGCAGGATTCCACAGAGACCACGCTTCAACGATGACAAATTTTATGACAATCATGTACTTCAAAGAATACCTGATGAGGTATCTGAACCAGTATAGGTGATAACAAAAAAAACGCTGAACATTGATGTGTGACAGCATGCATAAAGCTGTGTCTAATTTGGGGGTTTGGGCTCTGTAACCAGAGAAGAATCTGGGTTCAAATCCTTTAGCCAGAAGAATAAGCATCACATTTGATACCTTGAGCTGGGCCGTCAACCCAAGCTTTCCTCCCTCAGAAGATGCTTTGAACCAAAGTCTGCTAAATGAATAAATCCATCAATTTATATATTTTCCATCCCCACTTGTCCTATGCAGGGTCACAAGGGTTCACAGTCTATCCTAGAAGCTATGGGTGCAATACAAAAAACAACCCAGAAGAGGTCGCCAACTGATCACAGAGATTAATAAATGTCCAGTTGTAGGATAGAACTGTGATATTTTACTGATCACCTTATTCCTATGCTGTGTCCCACCTTGCTAAATAAATATGGTGAACAAAATGTTTTTTGCTTCACCATTTGGAGGCATTCTAGTCTCTAAAGACAAGTCTTTCAAACTGGTGTGTAGCTGATAATAGCTACATAAAAACATGAACCCCCTGAATTAATGTGAATAGGCACCCTGGCTATTTCAACTGCACCTCTGACTGGTCAACTCAATCAGGTAAGATTCTATGCAAGATAGCTTGAGTTGTCAATATGTCAAAATAATATCAAAAGAAATTTTTGCATGAAATTGTGATTTGATTAGACTATTTTGCATTTTTTTCTCTCCATATTTTGCTGAAGCAATTCAAAACTAAAAAGATGGTAGGAGTTCCCATCATGAGATTTAAAAAGTTACGTAGGGATAGAAGACATATGCGTATTTTGGTATGAAACATATTAACAATTCAGTTACGTATACGGATTGCTTGAGGGAGTTCTCTAAAACAAGCAGAAAATATACGGGAAAAGCCTCCCTCCATTTCTTTTTAGGAAATGTATAATGAATAGTATGATGATGATGATGATGATGATGATGATAATGAATAGTGACTAGAGGTATAGTATAAACAATTCTCCATGTCTCATCATCTAAAGCTTGCCTTTTTATCAGTGTCCATGCACATCAGTTTCAGATGCATAGAGGTCTGCTGTCTCACAACTACCTTTATTTTTTAACTGAGGTTACTGTAGTTTAATGTAGGAAATTTAAAACTAAACTAAATGCTGCCAGAACAACAACAATGTATTCCCTGGACAGCCCCAGTACCCACTCCCCCTGATCCAATCCGTACTCCTGCAATAACCCCAACCTCTACAGTCTCTAGCCCCCCAACACACTCTCCTCACCTCTCCAAAAAAGTCCTCACTACAAGCCAACTTTGTGTGATTTATCTCAGTATAATCAGGTTCACCAGATTTGCACAAAATGTCTGTGGCTGTACTTTCATATGCCACTACTAAGTGGCAGTGTTTACATTTTGGTCTCAAAATGAAATATGCCCCCAAATATGCAGTGCTTCTGGGAAGTTTGATAAGGATCAAATACTTTTAGAGTTACTGTGTTCACAAGATCAAGTTTCTTCTGCAACCATCCTTCCTTTCTTTGTTACCGCCTAGCCCTACTACTGCAATTTTGGTATAATCTATCTCAAAATTAAATCAGGTGTAGAATGCAGCCGCCTGGTGCATTGGTGCAAGAAGTATGAACATTAAGGAATGTGAAGGATTTGGCACTACAGCGTGCTACGGAGCATCTGCAGTAAATATGAGCCAGCCCTTAGGCATGTATAGCTATTGTGGAAATATTCATCTTGGCAATTATACTCTCTTGACATATGAATATTTGCATTGATAATCTGAGATTATGTGAGCTCTGGCCATTTCTTCTCATTTTTTGCAACAATATATAATTTTATTTCACTCTATTTAAACTACAACTAACTACCCAGTTATAAATACTCAACTTACTCTTTCTAAAGGCATTGACACTGAATGTGAAATATTGTTGTTTGTTAATTTAATTTTAAATCCTGAGTTACATAAATCCATCAACATTCAATTGATTATGGTGTCCGCATGCCCAGTGGGTCGGTCCAAACCTCCTGCTCTCCAAGGACTTATATCCAAAGTTATGTTTACCCTAAGGCATATTTAAATGTCCATCTTCCAACCCCAGTACAGGGTCAGAATATTTTTAAATATCAACTTTCAGGGTATGTAACAACTGCACACAACTGAGAGGCATACATGTCCATCAGCTCGAAAATTGGAGACAGGTAGAGAGAGACAAAGTAGCTTTAAAGACTGACAACTAATTTACAGATGGTGCATTTCAAGCATCTAAAGAATTTACAAGTTGGCCCTGAAAAGTCACCCTCTACTCATACTTATTAAATACCAGCTTACCATCAGACCACAAACAGTGTCCACGGTTAAGCACTCCTTCTCCATAATACCCAACACTGGAGCACCTCAGGGCTGCATGCTGAGCCCCACCCTATACTCCCCCTTTACATATGACTGCAAATCCGTCCATGATTCTAATATAGTAATTAAGTTTGCGGACAGTACCACCCTGTTAGGTCTTATCTCACATAACAACGAGTCAGACTACAGAGAAGGGGTTGAGAACTTGGAGAGCTGGAGCCGGGATAATAACCTTGCTGTCAGCCCTAGAAAATTCAGATTCTGAACTTCAGGAGACTGAAACACCATGGTTACCATCCCATCAGCATCAATGGTAGGGGGGTGGAGGCAGTTCAGAGCTTCAGATTCCTAGGAGTCAATATCAGCCAAGACCTGCCATGGTCCATCAACACAACAGCAGTGACCAAAAAAGGTCTTCAGAGGCAACACTTCCTGGGGAGCCTGAAGAAAGCACAACTCCCACAACAACTGCAGGTCAACTTCTACAGATGCACCATAGAGTCCAACATCACATATTGTATAACAGCATGTTTCTCCGGCTGCACCTCTGAGAACAGGAGGGCCCTCCAGCATATTATCAATACGGCCCAGAAGATCATCAGCTCACACCTTCCATTACTGGAAGAAATCAACCAGACCCACTGCTGCCGCAAAGCCACGAACATCTGCAAAAACCCGACCCACCTCGGCCACAGCATCTTCATTCCACTGTCGTCTGGCGAGTGCTATAGAGCCCTATCTGCCCACCCAACCGAGCTGATGAACAGCTTCTTCTCCAGAGCAGTGACATTTTTGAACACACAGCGCTCACTCCCTACTTCATAACTAGGTGCAATTGTATAACCACTGTTACTGTTTCATTAGTTAAGTAATAAGTACCCCCCCTCCCCCCCCAACTGCATCTCAACCACTGTGACGCTCTATTATTTTATATATTTTAGTATGCGGGTGTATATTCAAGTCAGTGTGATAGCTGGTGTGACATTGCGTTTTACCCATACACAGGGCATAAAGGAAAACAAACACAGCTTCACTGACCAGGCGGTCCACTGCAGCTTCAACATGTGGGGCTCAGTTTTGAGTCCATTCCAACAGTAACAATGAAAAAAAAAGGATATGTAAAGGGATAACAGAAATAAGTGAGAAAACCTGAAATATTATTTCCCAATAGCCTCAAAAAGACACTATGATATAATACGTTTACAGCAGTACTTGTAGCAAGTGAAACAAAAATACAGCGATGAACAACTTGTGGTTATTTTAGCAGTCATACTACACACCAAAATCATTTCTGTTTCTTCTACTACCTCGATTATTGTCTTATATTATCCCTGGCTTTCCCAGTAGCTACTCAGCCCCACCTTCACAAAAACCTTCTGGCATCCATAAAGGTCATCTAAAGAATAAAATCCTAAGACTAAAGCTCATAATAAAATCTGACTGGCATATAGGGAACCCATTTAATTAAACAATTGAAAACTTGTGGAAAACTGGTTGAAGACTGATATTAAGTCTTTCCAGGCTACAGTGAGTGGACTAACATATCACTGGAGGCCTGCAAGGAACTTAAGAATAAAATAAAGATTTTCGGCAGCATGTTTAGTGTTCAATGACTGCTACTCTGAGGTGGGGCGGCAGGTCGATGACTTTCTTTTCTAAGCTTGATCAGAAAATAGTTGGTTGAAATCCTTCAAGAATGGACCAGATGTGTTTTACTCACTCACAGCCTTATATTTCTAATTATCTAACAAACATTTTTCGATGGTGTGGAGGGGTGAGTTAAGAAAGCTTAAAATTCACGGTCAGCCCTTTCTGCCCTTATGCAGCGCATAATAACTTCAACCAACTTTAGTCAGGCAAAAATCCCAGAAGCCCATGACAGTTTTAATTTTCCTGAATTTTAGTATTATTGGGTCTCTATCTATCTGAAAATACAAAATGTCTTTAAATTTACGATTCTATTTTTAGCTATTATTTTAATAGCTTAACTACACTAGCGTTTTACAAAATGATATTCATTTAAAATAATTACTATTATTAACATATTTTAAAAATCTTATTGTGATTTAAAAATTTAATAGCGATAATAATAATTCCCAAAACTTTCGTTGAATTAAATACTTGCAGTATCAACCATCCATTCTACCGACTTACAACACCATTCTATACTTCAATGCCGGAAACGTAGCAACAAGAAATGACGTTGAGCCTTTAGAACAAAAATTTCCATTGGATAAATCTTAAGCAGGTCTGTTAACACCGTTCACAACGATTGGGTACTCATGTAAAAATGCGCTTTGCGGGGACCCATACAGAAAAGGGAATATGAGGGGAAGAAGAAGGCGGCCATCTTCGTGAGGTCATAAGATTTTGCGGTGAGACCCTTTAATAAGTTTTAAAAAATACAAACTCAAATCTTATACCAGAATAAAAAAACGCGCATAAAATGCATACAGATTAGCTGTCGACGTATTTTTGTATAGAGCAGACACTAAAATGTGACTTGCGACGTGAGAACGCCAGATCGTGGACTGAGCAGGCTAACAAGGTTGCGATATATAATTAATTTGAGCCATTTAGCCTATTTAGATCAGGATGAAACCTATAATATTTGTTATATTTAGGATCGGGTGTGTAGGATTTTAATAGCAACGAATGTGCAATTTTCGAAGACAGAGCAAACGATAATAAAGACAGACGGGGAAAAATTGGCAGTAAAACGTCATAGGAAGTATGTACTGATCCCTCAAAACTAGTCACTGCCCCCTCTCTGCATCACTCAGGACTGCAGACATAAATATAAGTAATAAGTAATATATGTTCAATTCACTTAATATTAATTAATATTAATGTTAGTAAGATATTTATGATTAATTAATTATTGACTTTTGTTTTTTGTGGATATTATGCAATTAATATTTCCTGTAAGTTTAAAATATTTATACAATACCTCAATGTAACTGTCAAATACTTGTATTCAAATAGTTTGGTTTCAGATAACACAGTTATCAATAAATTACAGGTTTGTAACGTTTTTACCTTCAATAAAATCTTTTGTAATGTTTTTAACTTATTCTGCACCTTACTTTTCTCTTCAAGATGCCCAGGCACTGCTCAGCTGCTGGTTGTAAGTCCCGTGACACTAGAGAAACACGGAAAGCTGGTATTACCTTCCACAGGTGAGCTGATTTTTTTCCTTTTGTTTTAATAATGTGTACCAGTGTAATCCTGCTACACTTTGTTAATGCCTGCACTGCTGTTTAAACCTCCACACTTTGTCCTACTTGCATGTTATTGTATGCGTGTTGTATATTATTGTTCACTATTCTGTGAAGCATTTCACTGTATATGTACAAATGACAGTAAAGCTTTTGAACCCTTGGATCCTTGACAGACTGCCAAAGCGCGGTAGCTCACGGCGCACACAATGGATCTTAAATTCCCAGCGCAAGGACCCCCAAGGGAAGGGACAGTGGGACCCCCAGAGTCACTTCATCTACTTCTGCTCCAAACACTTCACACCAGAGAGCTTTGAGCTGTCTGGAGTCAGGTCAGCTAGAGGGCGACAGACCACAAGTGCATTGCAGTTAGTCACACCTGCTAATGCTATGCATATGTATTTGAATGTTCAGCATTTTGTCATGCTCAATGTTTGGGTATTTTCTTATAGCCAGGACTAAATTATTTCTTCAAATAATCCTCCATAAGCAGTTCACAACAGAATTTGTCTTGTCTTTAGTTGCAGTCCATCAATTTTCCAACCGTTTGTCTTGTTCGCTTCTCCCTCTTGCACACAGTGGTTACCGAAGACTGAAAGAAGATGCATTACCTACTGTCTTTGAAACATTCTCAAGGCAAAAGCGATGCACTGGTGATAAAGGGCAACGGACAAGCAAGCAGACACAGACAACCAGACAAGCACGGTAATACAGAGAAACACACGTCTAACCTGTCATTTTCACAAAGGAAATTAATGTCTCTTAGGGATGTGCATGTGGTGCAGTGCGACTCGACGCAATACAATGTGAAGAAAAAATAGAATACAATGCTATGCAATTCAATATGGTACAGATACAGAAACAGGTTAAAGAGGGGAAATCAATCAAAATATAAAATTATTGGTCACATTTCTAAATAATAAAGGCATATGGCCTCTACTAATAATTATATATTCATAAATAGGATTTTACAGATGCAAAGACGTTAGAAACGGTGCATCTCGAGTTTATCCCGAATTGTATCTGGTGTAGGCTTTGTTTAATCAAAATCATAAACCACATCAAAAACTTTTATCCCGGTGCACCAATGGAAATCAACGAATCTGATCATCCCTAATGTCTTTGTTTTGTATTTTCCAAGGAGACAGACACGTTCCCTGAAGCAGTCAAGGACTGTGTTAGAGCCTGACAATCAGCAGGGGACAGAGAGCTCTGCGGGTGCAAGAAAAGCTGCTGGAGGGGTGGACTCTCTCCTGGAAGATGCATCTGAGCAAAACAGTGCTGTGAACGAGGCCAGGGGGGCTGGAATGGGAACAAAGCCTCTTCCAAGCGCTAACTCTCCTTTGCCCTCCTCTTTTTCCCAATCCTCACCTCACACATCCCAAGTTCTCCTCCCTCCCTCTGAAAGTGCTCCCTCTTCCTCCCAGATAGCAGCACCTTTTCCTACAGACCCCCAGTCAGCATCGTCCCCTCAGCCTCCCTCCCCGTCTCGGTACATGAAACGACTGCCACCCCCACCGGGGTTTCATTTGCCCAGAGAGCATAGCTATGCCCAGCTCTGTCCCTCGGTGTGGAGGAAGCGCTACGACAGGGCTATCGATAGCTTGGAGAAGACCCTGCGCCTACTCAATGCAGCCAGACGGAGGGAGACACGTCTCAGACACACGCTGCTGCGTCTCCGGGAGGACCGGCTTCGACAAACACTTCTGAACCTCAGAGGGGGAGCGAAATGGAAAGAGAGTAGAGATAGGGTGAAACAGAGCCTACACGGTGGTATCAGAGAGAGAGCAGACAGAGCCGTGAGACAGGGGACGGATGAGCAAGAAATGGAGATAGAGAGGATGGCAGAGGAGTTGAATCTCTTTGATGATGAAGCAGAAGACTCAGGTGAATGGGGAGGATATCCCCAATCATCATCGACAAGGACAAAAGAGAAGATGGGCTACTGCTTCTACTGTGGAAGAGGGCAAAAGCAGCTTGGTGACTTGGAGGAAGGAAGTTCAGGAACATCTGAGAAAGTTAAGGAGGTACTTGAGGATAAAGATGGTTCCCAGTGCCGTGAAACAGATGAGAAAAACCAACACGACCAAGAGAGTAGAGTTACAACCCAGAACACTGGAAGGACTCAGGAAAAGATTGCAGACACAGGAACTGAGGCCTGTTGTTACTACTACTACTACAGTGGCTGCACAGGGGAGCAAGAGGGAAATGCAGTCGAAGATGTGCAGATAGTCACCATGGAGCTACCGCAAGGCTGGCAGCTGTCACCGCAGCAGCAGCAAGCGCAGCCAGTGCAACCTCAAGCAGCTACTTTAAAAAGTGTGAGCCAGACTGGTGCACTCCAGGAACTTTGCAGGTTACAGGTACCATTGCAGCCAGAGAAGCCAAATCAGAAGTATCTCACAAGCTCTCTGTCAACAGGTTCACTGCAGGCCGTCTCGCCGTCCCAGGACTTGCATCTGCTGCAGTCAATGCGGCTCGAGCTGCATAAACCACAGGTGCAAATGCAGCAGGTCGAGCTGGTCCACCAGGGCCTCACCACGCAGCCAAGGGTTTTTGTGATGGACTCTGAGGGACAGGTGGGAGTTGGGACTGAGGACCAACAGGTGTTTTGGGTACAAGAAGACAGGGACGGGCATCTGCTGCTGGTCCCAGTACCTGGGGAAGATGTGAGAAAAAGCACAGCCCAGAAAGAACTCAGGGACGCTGCAGTTCAGCCTCTGCTAGTATCAGAGGTGGGATTTCATAATGATATGACTGATGGCAGCCTGGAACCCTATCTGGAGGCCGGTGATGGAGGGCAAAGGATCACAGGACAGGCTGGAAAAGAGGGGGGGTGCACAGCAGAGGTTAGGGCTGCTGCCGGAAGCGGGGATTTGAGGGAAAAGCTGAAGGAGCATTTAGAAGGCTTCCAGCTCCAACTCAGCAATGAATTTATAAATTAGCACGTCAGTCACTAAAGTGTTGCACATATTGCAGTGTTCACAGTATTCGAAGAGAATGTTTGAGGCAGCCAAGATGTCTATTGAAATCAGCCGGCTTATTTTTCCATTTATATTATATTTATGATAATTGTTTACTTGTCTTACTTTGTTTTAAAATAACAACTCAGCATCGATAAAGTTTTTTTATAACCATTGATATTAAAATTTCAGTTGCAGAGGAGATTTAATGTGCCGAAGTTGTGAAGGAATTGGACTCAGCTTGGTATTAATACGCTTCATTAGCTATAGCTATATAACAGTTCCAGATTTAGTACTTGTGGTTCAGTGTCAATGATAAATTCTTATGAATGTAGAAGTTACCTGTAATTTTTGGTAAAAAAGTGTATGTTGTTTCAATATTCTATTTACTTGTGTGTGTTTGTGGAGGGGCTGGAATTATGCTTATATCAGATTTTGTTAGTTATGCATACATCAGATGATTATTCTCCTCCAAATACATAAGACGTTTAGTTCATGGTGAAATATAACTTTAATATAACAGGAAATTATCATTCTTTACATACCCCAATAACAGACTTGTCCACCCATTGTTGCTTAAACCAGATTACCACAGATAGAGTAACATAGTTCTATCAGAATTAGCAGTGAATAAACTTGCTATGGCCAGTACAGTATGGCAAGTACCAATGGAATAAAATTGAGGATTCTTCTTGCTGTTTGTGTGGCTTTTGGCCTGTAGATGGCTTTGTCCTCTGGGACTGCACTTCAGGGAAGATTCTTGGTGAAGATAAGAGCAGAGAGATGGAGAAAGAGAGAGCACACTTCTTGTACAGAGGCCTTTTACCAGGTTTTACCTGGAAGGACCCAAAGGTCCGCTGGCTCATGGTCATTGAGTGTTGATGATGTGAAGGTCATAAAATTGACATTAAAACTACTCTTATGCGTGCTATTTCCATACTGGGAGGGGCCTGGCAAATTTTATACTGAAAGGGGTTTAAACAGGGTAACATTTAATAATTATTATCCACTATACAAGGGGCTATTCAAAGCAATATAGTCACACTAACTATGGTATAACGAACTGAATAACATCCCACGTGATATTTGATATAAGAGTAATAGTTACATAGTGGTTAACATACTGAATTAATTAATCACATAACTAATGAGGTATATTTATTGTATACACTGGGGTGATATATTGTGGGGCCGCAGCCCCCACGATTTGTTAAAAAGCAAAATCAAAAAGCTGAAAATGTCAAAAGTCTTGTATTTTGTTTGGTTACTTATGGTTAAGGTTAGGGCTGGGTAGGGGTTAAGGCTGTCATTGTTGGGATTAGGGTTATGCCCATAGATATGAATGAACGGTCCCCACAAAGGTAGGAACACAAACGTGTGTGTGTGTGTGTGTGTGTGTGTTTGACAGCCCCGTCTGGGACTCCCACAGATATAAGGTATCCTCAACACCGCATTCCAGTACCGGTGTGTTCCATGTTATTGGTCACAGTTTAAAGAGATCAGTGTGAGGCAAAGACCATGTGGATGTCCCAAGGCGGCATGTGTTCCTTGATACTTGACATATTCAACCAGGTTGGGAACTTCTCTCAACCACAGAGAGTAAGATCTTTAGTTACTTTTTCTTCCATTGGTGCTGTTTCAGATGCCATAAAAAGTGAATATTTGTCCACATCCTGGAGTGGTAGGTGGCCTCTTTGTTCTGGTCCTTTTTATGGTCCTTATCACAAAGTGTTTGGCTATGGGCCATTGGAGGGTCTGTTTATTGCAGTCTGGGGTTGGATGGTGGGGGGGGGATGATGTAGGAATGCAGGGAGAGGAGATCTGGGGGCTTGAAGGACTATTAGTTGTCTTTAAGTTTCCTTTGGTGAGGGGTCAGGCTTTCTTCTCTGTCTGTTTTTCCTACATGGCCAAGTATGCATGCTTAAGATGAACTTGACATGGTGTATTTGGTCCTAATAAACATAACAAAAATTAAGGCTAAAGGAAAAAAGCATAAGCTGCCTTTCATTTAACACGCTTAACCTTCGGCCTATGTTAGCTTTCTGTTCCTGTCTCTTATGTTAGACGGGTCGGTGCCAAGCAGTACGTGTCTTACATCAGCCATAAGATACCCTCAAAACAATTATTTATCATCCAATTTGTTTCTTACCTCTTGGTTACCTTGTTAGGCTTCCTTATCCATGAAAAGAATTGTTTTAAAATTTTTGGTGTGGCTTTCTGGACCTTTCTTTTGACAGCATTCCTCTCGTTTTCAATAAAAAAATAATGGTAAAATAAACCTCAAGTGAATTATATACATAAACTGAACTGGTCTTATCTTACCTTACATGTATGGGCATGTAAGGGCCTTACCTTGATTTTGTTTTCATTTATTTAGTTTAAATAGAGATTCCTGACAAAGTCAAAAAAGCTTTGATGCAGTATATATTTAGAAAAAAGGTTTATTGGGGGTGCTATATAGAACTATAGGGGTTCTAACCAGAGGAAATATATCCATTGCCTTCAAAAAGGTGCTGTTTCTTTTAATTGAACCCTCTATAATGGTTCTATATAGAACCTTTGAGGGTGTCATATATGTACCAAGCTATAGAACCCTTAAAGGTTCAATATGGAGCCTTTTGTTTTAAGAGTATTCATAAATATATGTGCTGCTTTTATGCATTTTTAAACTTAAACACAGGTCTGTGCCGACCCTAACAGCACAGGAAGGTTAATAATGTCTCTAAGGACAGTAGGAAACAGGGGTCTTCGACCCTCGCTTCACTAGACGCTGCGGGTGGCGAATCGTGTTGAGCGAGGTAGTTTTGGTAAACCGCAGCATTTTCATTATTAGCGTTGTTGATGTTGTCTATTTCATCTAATAAGGCTTCGGGTATAGAAGGGGGTGTTGCTCCGTCCATACCTGCTGATTCAGGTCTTTCGTAGATTTTCTCTTGACCGGTCCGCGCCGTCTCTCGTAGAAAAAACCAGAGAATACCTATTATTAGAGAATACGTATTTATTTATTATAAAACATGTATAAAAGAAATAATATACTCACTCTATGGAAGTCCCGTGTGGTTTTCTTTTCTTTTCTTCTTTTTCCAGTGGGGTACTTGTGTTTCTTTACCAAAGGAGGAAAACCCGTACGGTGACCGCTCAGCGTAATAAAAATATCTGCGGCTGGTTTTTCTTAGGATTCTTTAAGGAGAAATATACAGCCTGTCAAGTTTTAGGATTATCTTATTTTCTTAATTATGTCTATTTGATGTACGTCGTGGTGTTTTTCTTTTAACTCATATTTGTAGTTATGCGCAGACGATACGCTCGACCCGGGATGACCTACCGGGATGTAAATAACAGACAAGAATATTACCCCAAACACTGTTAAATACTGAAATACAAAATGTCCAATTTGATGTGTGGCCCAATTACAGTTTGACCTGGGGGTGACCTACGGGGATGTAAATAACGGCTGTATCAGAAAAACCCAGACTTCAAACAAAAAAAAACATGTTATATACTGTAAGACAAAATGTCCAATTTGATGTGTGGCCCATAAAGTTGACCGGGGTGACCTACGGGGATGTAAATAACGGGTGCATGAGAAAAACCCAAACTTCAAACAAGAAAAAAATGGGGGACACCCTCACTCCCTACCACGGTCACACGCACACACGGCCAAACTGCTGCTGCGGGGGGTCAGCTTTCACATACACATGGCCAAACTGCTGCTGCTAAGCGTTTATTGGAGGATAGCATCAGACCCACCCCCTCCTCCTCCTCTCATTCTTAGCTCCAACTTTCTCATTTTCACGCAGTTTCTTTCACACTCGCGCAACACAGTGATAAGCTCCAACATCGCTCTCACAATCTCCGAGTCCTTTGCAGAATCTCCAAAGTCCTTATCCGCAACATTTACACGCTCTGGACCGACCGGGACCTTCCCACAGTACCGCACCACAGGCAGACCCAGCGTACGCTCACACTCCATCAGGTAACCGACCCACTCAGCTACGCACTCAGGTACGCGCTCAGGTACGCGCTCGGCACCGTCAGCCATCACCCTCACAGCACGGGGCTATTCCGACAAATCACACTCATAAGCACACAATTCATAATTCCAACATATGGAAATAATTAACACCACTAGTCGTGACGTCACCTGGCTCCGCCCCAACCCCGACACCCGACCTGTCATTTTGATAAATTTGACCCTTTGATCTTCATAACCTGTCACTTTGATTAATGTGACCTTCATGACCTTTGACCCAACCTGTCATTTTGACGAAAGCGCTATTCTCCATCTCTCTTATATGGATACAGGGAAGTGAGCTCCCTGCTGCAAGGTAGCAAAAGTGGAAAGTCAGGCATGTGGATCTGCTGAATAATTAGGATAAGGACCAGTTGGTGATCATGCAGTAGGGCTGATGCACCGGCTGAGCACCGCTAACCCTCCATACAGAAAGAATGAGTGTTTGTGAGGAAGATGGAGAGGAAGAGGAAAACCAATAGGTATGCTCCAATGCCCCCACTAGGGGTAAAAGGAGCACAGACACATTATGTGCCATGAGCAGGACAGGATCTGGAGGGCCTGCTTCTCAGACTCCTGGTTCTGGCAGATGGGGCAGAAAGTGGACAAAAAGTGTTTGAGGAGGAAACTGTGAGATGGCTCCTGCTGATAGGGAACATATAGACAGTTCTGACTCATGTTCTGGGGGGGACAGAATGGAGAGAGTGCTGCATAGCGGTGGCCTGGCAGCAGGGCCATGCAGAGACGTTTAAAGGGGCGGGTGCTCAAAGTTAAAAAAGATAGAACAGGCTGAATAACAACAACTCACATTCATGACGAATCTAATATGGAATTATGTGGATATGCGTTTTTAGTGAAATAAAAGCCCTCCAGAAAAGAAGGGAAAAGTCCTGTAACTTACTTTAAAACAAAACATGTTCCCTAA